TTCAAGCGTTCCCGTTGTAAATTGATAAGTAATACTTGACAAGAGATCTATTCACTAAGTTTCATTTTTTTTTAAAAATACAATACTATTGGAGCTTTCTTGCTGAAGTGTTGAAATAACTTACGTTTAAGGATCTGTTACGAAAGACGCATTGTCCGGCAACGGAAATTCAAATTCATGATTTCTTGGACCAGTTAATGCAAAAACTGGATATGTTATGACCTTAATTTCTATAATACATTGTTGTAATATGACTGTTATGAAAATGCTAATAAAAAGTTTTAGGGATAGTTTTTTTTTGCAAATTTGTTTGCTGAAATGATTTTCTATTTGCAACTTATTGAAACTATATTCCTAAACTATATTCCCAAAGTAGTAGAACGATATCATTGTAGCAGGGGTCGATGAACCGAAGTAGTATCATATCATCTCACCCACAATTTCTTCAATTTCATGTATACATGTAATAATGAAGATTTTATGAGTAAATGAAATTGACGTTTTCAAATATCTTCCAGTTCTAACATCTTATTTAATAGGAATATGTTTGCGTCTATTTAATGATAAATTATTCATAACGATAAATTTCCCCCTTCATCAAAAAACAAAAGAAAAAGAAATATTGACAAACATCCTTTCATTTTTCATATTATTAGCGAAAAAATCCAAATCCCAAACTCAAATTTCTAAACCACAGCCGATACCTATCCGAAATTTGACTGAGAAGTATCTTACAATAATCGAAAAGGAATATTTGGCCAAATAAGTATGATTTATTCTTTTCCGTCATTCTTTTAATAACTATATTCTAATTCATTAATAACTCCATGTTCCCTCCCAATGATATTCATGATAATAAGCATAATAAAATGATAAGACTTGTCATGTTTACATGTGATTTGTATATTTCATTGAAAATAGCACATGTAACCTGGTTGTAGAATAAATTGTTACAATCCAAAACAGATTTTATAATGATTTCCTAGTTTGAACAGGATTAAATGAACCATAATTTGAAGTGAAGGAAAGTGATATAAACATGTGGAATGATTTTTTTCCCTATTTCTGGCTAGAAAATGTCAAGGCTAGAATTCCTAAAATCTAAAGAATCTCTAGAGAATATCTAGAGAATATGAAGCAGTTACTAATTTAATGCGCCATCATATATAATCTATGACAACATTATGCATGCAAGATTAAAAATCGACGTAATATCAAACTGAGACATTGAAAAACTTTCAAATTTCGTTAATTTTAAATTTCCGCTTATTTTAGGGAATAAATGTAAGCCAGACTGAGTAATTTACTGAAAGTCAATTTGCTTTTATTATTTCGAGGGCAACTATTAAACTCTTTAACTAATCTTGCACGTTTATGATAGGTGTATCATACCATGAATAGCTTTAATTTCCCACGTCAATTTTATCTAAAAATTTTGCGCGCATATCAAAAAATGACTTTATTCAAAAAAGCAAATATAGAATCTCAGCATGCATCTGGAACACTCTCAAACTCAACCATCTTAACGAAAAAATAATTCATCGTTTTGCGTCTTGCAAAGCTTAATTCACTTCTTCACAATTGGCGCTACCACCCTGAAAACACTTGCTTTGAGCATTGAACAAACACAGAACTGATTTGAATTTTTTAAATTATTTAAGTCAGTGATGCTGAACCAAACATAATGCATGTTGAACAGCATAACTGCAAACGTAACGCAAAAAATCAAGAGACATATCGGATCAAATTTCATACGAATAGGAATTGTCCAAATAAATAAAGAAAAATAGAATATTATGTTCAACCACTGCTCACCAAATTTGTTTAATCAAAGTCACTGTCCAAATCATACGCATCTTTCTTCTTTCCAAATTTCGAGTTATCATTTCCAGCACGTGTTCCTCTTCCAGCCTAAAAAAATCTTTTTTATTGTTTGTTTTTACTCATTTTTATGTGAATAGATGCAATATTAAATTAAGGTATGCTTACTTTTTTCCCTTTTGGTCTTCCGCGTTTCTTTTGCGTAGCTTTCACTGTATCGTTATAAAATGCAGAAGATTCATCATTTCTGAAAATACAATCAATATATCTAAATCTAAGGTTAATAAACAAATGAAGCATAGAGAAGCTAAAGATTCTTTAATTAAAAAAGAATACTTCTGAAGCAGTGGAGTTGAGGCGCACATCGGTTTAATAGTGCTCGCTGACACGTCACTATCGAAAAGTGTAACAGCCAAATTACTAGAAAAATTATTATATAAATAATAAGTTCTTTAATGAATCCTATTATTAGCCGATGAATAAATATGAAATTAGAAACTGAATAAGAAATGGCTTACTGAGTTGACTGTTCCTTTTTTTGCTCGCGTTTTTTACGCGTCTGGCGACACGCTTTATAATTTGCAGTGGATTGCGAAAATTTCGATTCTGGAAATAAGACAAAATTTTTTGGTACTCCAGCAGAGATGAAGTAAATTTCAATGCTCACATTCGTAGAACATCAATGTAGATGTGAAGTACCTTCTTGTTCAGCGCTTGATATTTGTGCCCTTCCTCTTTCGTCACTTCTTTTAACAGTGAGAAGTGGCTCTTTGATTTCTGAGAGAACAGAAGTTGAGTTCATCTAAAATTTAGTGATTAATGAAAGAAGTAAGCTGAGAGAAAAAAAGAGTTGACTTCAGTTATCTGAACTTTTTTTTGAATTTACCTGAAATTAAAACAAATTTTAAAAAATATACATAGAATTTAACGAACTTTCTCATCTGATGCAGAATTTTTTTTCGTAAGATGTTTCCGTGGATCAATTTTCCTAACAATAATTTCCTCGCTTCCAGACTTTTCTGGCTTGACATATTTAACATTTCCCTCGCTCTTCTCTATCTATGAAGACCAAGTCCAAACTTCATAACAGGTAAAAAGTTTACTATTCTAAATCTGAATATTTTTCAATATTATTCATTCAGATTCAAAGCAGTGGCACCAAAATCGAACAATACTCATTTGAAAAAAAAAAGACTGAACAAATCACCGATAGTTATTAATCGACCGAATCTCTAAAAATCTTTTACAAATGTGGTGTGATTGAGGCAAATGTAATTGAAAGTTTAAATCAAATTAAAAAAACACTAGAAAACCTTATCATACTCCATTCCTTCTGATTCTTGTCCTACTTCTCCTTGACTTGTCGATCCTTTTGTCAGTGATCCATGTGCTGCTTCTGTGCCATCTTGTCGAGATTTTCCGTCTTTTTCAGAAGCAGAGCATATAAGAGTACCAATGCCCTTGCTAACAGTTACCATCTTCAGTTGTCTATCCATTGCATTTCGTTGAGCTTTAAGACGCCGTTCTTCCTCCTTTATAATGTAACGATAAGGTTTTATGAAGACGAAGTATTCTTTTTCATTCATATTTATATAGCACAAATGCTGGAAATACAGGTATAGGTGCTACAAATTCTATTTGCATTTTATAAATTATCAAACTTACTCGGATCTTATGCTTTAAGCCTAGAATTTGTTCACTCATACGCTTCACTTCTTCCACCAAAAATTCACGTTTCTTCGAAGCTTCCAGCTTATTTTCTTGATATGCACTTCTCATAGCTTTCATTCCAGAAAGCTAAAATACAAATTTATTATAATCCATCACATGAATTTCGATAAACTTCCAAAAAATTACTGTCCGTTAAAAAAAATTCCTCTGGAACTGATAAGCAAGACGATGAGCTTTAATGCATTCAGACCCTAAGTGACAAACTTAGCAAAGTAGAAAAAATTCTAAAACCTGTGCACTGCGACGGCTTTCTTTTTCGACAAGTTCAAGCTGAAGTTGTGCTTTCTCCTGCTTCAACTGTTCTAAATTCCGTTCCATTCCCTCATTGATTTTGTTATGAGCCTCCAATTCTGATTTTTTATTGAGATCATCGTGAGCTTGTTGAATCTTAACGTGGCCAGATAAGAATACATGAATGTATAAATAAATTCTTTGACAATTGATGAATAATGATGATATATTTATTTTTATATAGGGCATATAGGAAGACCAATCTGAAAATAAAACCTCCACTATTTACCTGCATAAGCATCGTGCTTTCTTTTTCACGCAAATCCATCAAAACCGATTTTATAGCGCATATATTGGCTTCACCTCCCTCCTGTATCGATTAATTAAGAAAAGTTGCAAGTGAAGGTGAAAATAACAAAAAATAAATAAATGTCAAAGTCCAAAATATTTTTGTGTGAAAATCTTAGAGAAATATAGTTATTAAAAACGACCAACTATAACGCAACCTGTCTTAGGAGCGCATTCACATATCAACTTTAAAAAAAACTTTATAAATGTCATTCATTCGATTAAGACGTCTGAGAAGGGACATTCATGAACCTTAATTTCCTGAACTTTTTGTTCGTGCATCTCGCGCTCAAATTTTATAACATCCTCAAGTTTAGCTAATTGATTCTTTATAGTATTTATTTCTTGTTCAATAGCTGCAGCGTCGGCATTTTTTTTTTTAAAACGTTCTTCGTTTTCTTTCTATAAAAGACATAAATAGAATCTTGGAAATTGAAAAAAAAAATAGAAATTAGCATAATAGCGACAATAATAAGCGTTAAAATTAACCCTAAATCTCTCTCAAAAAAATAAGTGAATGTTTTCCATATTATCTGCGCAAAAGTACGCAAAACTAACCAATTCTTGCTCCTTAGAATTCATGCTTTCGTCAAGTAATTTTTTATCGTTCTTACGAATATTAAGATTACGTGTAAGTTCCGCAATATGCCTTTTACGTTGTTTATATTTTTCCGATATAGAATTCCGTCGTTGCTTTTCTTCTTCTTGTTCCATATTCAACTTAACGATTTTCTTGTGACAAAGCGAACAGTGAGCATCAATTTCACCTAAAATAGCACTTACTAATAATCTCGATTTATATGCAATAATTAAGAACCAAAGAATGATAGAGTTATCCAAAATACAGCAGTCATTCAACAGTTACCAATTTGTTCCTCCAGATTTGCTGCATCCATTCTCATTTCTTCTAAAACTTCCTCAAGATTTTCTAGATGATTAGCTTCATCCGCAATTGATTTCTAAATAAATAATTCAATATAAAAAATTGTATAACACATATCACCATAACTCTGATTCTCTTACTTGATGCACAACTGATTATCGATAGTAAGTCACGAATAGTTCAAAGACCCGAAGAATTTTATTATATATGTGTTAATCAATCGAGCTTTTACTGTAACGAATTTATATTTGGAAACCTTTGATACACTATTTACTTTATAAAAATATATTAAATCAAAAAAATTTCAAACTCACTCTTGTTAAATCAAAAATATTAAAATTATGTTAAAGAATATCGGAAAAGTGTAGTAGACGAACCACTGAAACTAAATAGTCGATTGATTCTTGCACTTTCGAAGAAAACATTTTATCGCAGTTTTGCAACTTTGATGCAACTGCAAATTGTTCAATACAAAGAAAAACAAAATAAAAATTTTCCGAAGTAACAATTTTCGCAATAAATTATTTTATTACCGTTAGAAAAATTTGATGACGCCAAATTGCTTTTTAGAAGGTTCTGAGCTTCTCTTTCCATCGAATGCAATTTTTCCAAGTCATCTCGAGTAGTATTTTGAGCAGCAAGCAAGCAGTTTTGAGCTAAAAGTACTTACTGCTATATTATAAGCATTTGTACTATAAGTTATTATAAGCTAATACACAATTTTTTTACTAATAAATTTATGCCAATATTTGTGCCAAATAAATTTGTACTCCGGTGCTAATAAGGTAAGACAAGTAATGATAAAGGTTGATTATAATTTTAGGTAAGATGTATTAGGAGCCCTAATGTTATTTCTCCTTATATAATCTTACGAGACTTACGAGTTCTTTCAATTTCAGCTATTAAACATATATCGTTCGTGATTTTATACTTCATTTATTATTTATAATCTCATACGAATTTTTATCCATCATTGGTTTATTTTCATAATCTTGATTTTATTATTTATTGTAAGAGATTCTGCTAGTAATATGCCCATTATATCTACAAAGCTATCGGGTAGATCCTGCATAAGCGGTTTTATCCAGTATCTGCCTGATATAACACCTCCAGGACTGTAATATTCACTTATTATGCGCAATTTAAAAGTTGCGGAATACAAGTCAAAATTCTGTAGTAAGCTCATGTAAATTTACTTGAAACTACTGAAGATTACATCGATTAGTTGAATATGAATATCTTCAAGAATATAAAAAATTCAGTTGGCTCATCCTACCAGATATTTCATCGAAGCTGGTCATGGTTAAAAAACATACAGAATCTGGAATATGAGTCGATTAAGTTCTAAATGATTTGAAGAACCCGTATCACTAGGAGCTAAATATGCTGTATGATAGAGCAGTAAGTATGAAATCACATTTTCAATATATACTATCAGGGTGCGAATATAATAGTTTCCTATTTAGAACTTTCGAACATTTCCTAAGCTATATTTTTCTTAAATAGAAATTCTTATAGAAATTCAAAAACTCTACCAACCATCACTGATACCACCCATAATTTGCTGTTGAACGCGTTTCAATTCTTCAATTTTCTCGCCTTGTAAGTTAGTACTAAAAAATCAATAGAACTAGCGCAGTTGAAATAATCTGAAAAATAATCACAAAATTACAACTTTACAAGTACTATAGGTGCTTTAAAAAAAAGAACCTTTGAACAAGTTCATTTGTCTTCTCATCTAGCAGCTGCAACTCTTTTTCTGTTTGTTCCGTGTTTTTCTGTATGGATGAGAATTGTTGCTGGTTGATTGCACGATTTTCCTTCATGAGTTTTATAAGTTTATCCTGAAATAATTCAGACAATAATAGTTCAGAAATCCATTAAAAAAAAGAGTTAACATAATGTATGCAAAACACACGCAGGACTAATGAGAGATATACATAAACCACAAATCGTGGATTTTTTACCATTAAATGTAGTATGTGTGCGTCTTTATTTCTTGCTGTCATACTCATATGCAAATGAAGGAAAAACTGACATGTATATCAAGATCTACTTCCGTATCGGCCATTTCTTGATCATACTGTTCGCAAAGTTTTTTCAGTGAATTGTCGCATGACATCGATGTCGTTTCCATTTCAACCTCAAACCCAATTTCAGTTTCGAAATCAAAAAAGGAAAAAAAAATGATAAAAAAGATCTCCGCGTCTCCGCGTCCTATTAAAGCTTTATATTCACTTTTCCAGAAATGTCTGATATTCTCTGATGTTTTTAATAATTTGACGCTTTAATGAGTTTATATTTTGTGAGATACTTAATTTTTTGAGAAAGTTACAAAATTGTGAATCACTGTATTATTTAACTTAGCTGCTTAGCTATTGACAACACTGAAAAAATACATTTCCAATTGCTTTATGAAAACTTGAGGAAAATCCACTTCTTGTATATAATCAAAATGTCATATTATCAAAATAATTTCTATAAAGAATTCTAGATGAAAAAAAGTTAAAGATAATTGCTATTTTATTACTTCCCTCCCTACTTGCTATCCTACTGTGTCTTTATAATTGCATCAAAATAACCATATTTAAGTATATTAAAATTTAAAAATTAGAAATTTAAATCTGGTTTCAGTTTTCTTTCAAGCGATGTTTCGGCATCATAAATGCAAGATGGTGCAAATACTACGGTACCATAGCTTCCATTCTACTCAATATGACTAAAGAAGATAAAATATTGTGCGTGCAAAGCACTATAGAAAAAGAGTGTAATTGTTGAGAGAATCTTTTCGAAATATAAAATAAATATTTGAGTTGAAATTTATGATTTGAAACTTTCCAACTAGCTGCATTTGATTTCACCAAAATTTAGGTGCCCAAAACTTTGTATAATTTATATTTTAAAGATTCACGAAATTTTAAAAAGATTTTAAAAGACAAAGAATAGGAATTATATTTCTAACACGAATAGCTACTTTATGCTCGAGAAAATAAGGCAAGGATTTAAATTAGAAGAAATGAGAAGACCACGAAATAGATTTTAGTAACACTTTAATATTTCGAATTCATTTTTGAAAAAAGTCAAATTTAAAAAAACTGAAATGATGATAAAAGTAAGAGATGACAGCTGAAGTAAATTTACAAACATACATATAAGTAAATTCGCGGAAATTTCTGGAACACTTACCACAACTCCTATCCGTATTTCCAAGTTTAGCTTTAAAATTATGCTTTCACGTTTGCTAAATAAAAATTTGTAACACACAACCTTAAAAATATAAATATGACGCAAGTTTATGGCCTTAAATATCTATACTGTCAATTGGTCTCATGTCATGTTTCACGTCGTAGTTTCATATCACGTTTCACGCAGCGATAAATCAGTGATAAATTAGTTGCTGTATCAAATTTTTGCCGCATGCTTCACATTATGCATTTTTGAATTAAGCAGACTGACGTACGGAACACAGGAAATTCTCAGTCGAGCTTACCCAAATGACCTGCCGCCTACCGGAATATTCGCTACACATCTCGACCCTTACCGAACAACACATCCATGACATAACCCATTTCCCACCCGAATCATTTAATTCCACCCGAACAACTCAGAGCCTACCGTACAATTCATCTCTCCAGCAGTTAGCCTAAAATGACTACCATCCATTTTCTAGATCATTCCAAATTACGGAAGTTGGCGTCTGGCCAGCAGGTGCTATAGCATTCCTTTTCTGGAAATATCTCCCGAAATAAGTATTCCGATAGAATTTCTTTGAACCTTTAAAGTCGATTTAAGATATATTTTCCAGAATGCCGCTGGATCCTGATATCCTGATCGTAACTGATATGTGGTTAATCCCCAATAGTGAAACATACATTTATTGATTTTTTGGAAGAACTGGAAGTGGTTGTAGATCACTTGAAAATAGCAAGTAAAGACTAATCAAATGCTGTTACCAGTTCATTAAAAGAGTAAAAACGAGTCAACAAGTACTATTATTAATTGAGTAATGTGAGAGCAGGAAGGAATGTTGGATGTTCGGAGAGAGCAATCCATCAACTTGAATGAACTGAAATATCTAAGCACCGCAATGTTTCAGCTGTGTATAATCGATTGTCAAATTAAATTTACAGAAATATTTCTTACTAACTGAAAAATGATACATTTACTGCATCTTTACATACATGCATATACACACATGCACACACACACACACACACACACACAC